AAAGTATTAGAAATATATATTCAATCGGTTCGCATGGGGACCCCTCTTCCTACTCTACTTATTAATTAAAGAAGCCGAAATGGTTCCCCTTCTTGTACATCCTCTCTGACCTTGTGACTTCTTGCTCCCCAGCTTTCGAACATCACAACTCGTTTTGCGGGATTACCCCCCCCCACTGTCCCGAATTATCCGTGACCGTACATCAAGCGGTGTTAAGTTATTGTACCCAACTGTTGACGCCCGGACGCACGCGAACGCACGCCACGGCGGACGCGACGATCATACGGATTGCTATCAAGCTGGCATCTGACTATGCAAATGAGCTAACCAAACACGTGTTTAGATGCCTGCTTGTGTCGGCAACATAATTTTGTTTATCTTGAAACCCAATGTTACACCCGGTTTCGGGCAACATTGATTTTCATGGTTCAAAAACCTCCATGTTTCTCTTGCTATTAGTCAATGTAATTGTATAATTCTATGATATAATTTGCTATATATGTGAATTTCTGGTGCAAATGTACGATGTAATTAAGTATATACGTAACAATAAATGTATGTTATTAAATTTTTTATATATTTATATACTTGAATGTAATGTCATCTGTAACGGCATGTTGCAAAAGTTATAAAGGGAGAGAGGGGTCAATCGGTGACGTAGCCAGGATTTTTTAACAGGTGGGGCCAAAAACAGCCGAACTGCACAAATACGCTGGATACTTAATATTTTATGGTTCCTGCCGTTCCCCTCTCCACACCCTACGTTCCCCCACCTCTCAGCTCTGCATTCTTTGTTTCAGGCGACATTTCTGTTCGTTGTTCTCTGCTACCAAGATATATTGAAGGGGGTGAAAAACAGGCGGGGGGTAGCTGGGAGTTCCTCCCTCAGCGAATTTTTTAAAATGTTATCGCAGGAGATGGTATTTGAGGGCATACTTTTGATACATGCTACAGGCCTTCATTCTGACTAGAGACAATTCTCTGTTTTAAGCTCATCTGACATGAGTCAGCATCGCTGTGTAGAATCGCCATGATCGTCCCGTGCGTCCGTGCGGTGCGTCGTGCGTCCAACAGTTGGCGCACAAATCTTAACCGCTCGACGTTACGGTCACGATATTCGGGACGTGGCGGGGGGTAATTCCGAAAAAACGAGTTGGGCATGTCGAGCTGGGGGTCAAAGGTCAAAGCGTCAAAGAGGTGTAAAAGAAGGAGGGAAAAATTCACTCCTTAACTTAGAGTATAGGAGGAAATGCAGAATTGCGGCACAAATCTAAACGGCTCGACCTAGGCTCTGATAGCTCGGTGCTATAGCGATCATGGTAGGAAAAGCCATCACTGTGCCAAAATTGGAGGTCACAGGTCAAAAGGTCAGGTGGCACAGGGCAGATTTAGACATTTTCTGAGGACATGGCTTGACGGAGCGATTGAAAAACTTTTTTGTTTCAGCGGTGACCTAGCATTTTTATGGGCTTTATTGCAAAGGACATGAAATGTCCCTTCTGCATGACATGCGAAGATGTAAGTGTCGGATAACCTTTTGACCTCTCAAGAGGGTTAAACTTGGATTTGTTGACTGTCTGTTAGAAAGAATTTGCATGCCGGGTTTGCTAGATAGAATCTATACATGCCTGGATGTATGAGCTCTACAATGTCACAGTGAAATTTCAAAAGCTAAATTGTGTTAAAGAAGGTGTATGTTCGCTTTAATCGTATAATTTTCCAATGTCATTCTGTACTGTCAGTATTGTTACATGTAACGTATGCCACGCCAGTGGGCTGCTGCCAGTGCATGTGTTGGTGCAGTTTTTGCCTGCGTTAATGGTTACAGGGGCCAGCTCTCTATCTGCCAATTTGCAGCCTGTAGGCTTGCGTAGGTAAATGGATGATTGTTTACCTATTCTGTCTTTGCAAATAGTTGTTGCCTACTACGAGTATGATGGGAGATTCCATCTTTAATCTGAAGACACTTAAACGTACGCGGCCATTCCGTGGCAACTTTCATAACGATCCCAACGAACATTCTTTTGAGAAGGTTCCTGATCATCCTGTGCATTCCACTGTTTCGGCGTGTATGTGAACACATTTGGGACTAACAGGGTTTACTGATCCCACACTCCACCACAGAGTCAAGCGCAGTACGCGTTAGATGAGCGCTGCTCGCTCTCGCGGCACTTGTTAGGATGAGAAGCAATTTCTTTTTTTTACTTTCGGATCAACAGGGTGTGCCATGGCCCCTTTCCCACCCCCCCTAACTACGCCACTGGGGTCAATAGGTAGGAAAATGGGGAATGTATAGGATAGGGGGAAGGAATGTAAATGGAATGGATGGGGGAAGGTGTAGGGAGGAGGAGAAGCACTAGGGAAGATTATGGCAGGAATGGTCGACAGGAGAGGGAGGGTAGATTATGATTAAAGGTTAGGGAGGACGTAGGGAAGTAAAACAAAGGACATGGTTGGAGAAGGTGGATATAGATAAGGGATGAAGGAATAGGGAGGTGCAGGAGGAAGAAGTAGGATTGTGTTCTTCGCACGACTACTCGCCAATAGAATTTTGTTTCAGCTGCCTAGGACAGATGTGTTGTGCACTGACATGCACACCTATACATGAATTGCTTTTGTTGTTCTTTCATATTTTCTCAGTAATTCCTTAATCACCATGCTAATCGATTGCGAAACTCACGAGATAATATTTTACATTCATTTATTTACAAAAAATTGAAACAGAACACGGCATTAAATATCATTTTGTCGAGTAACGAGTAGCAGAGCTATATACATGTCCGTAACAGACCTTCCATGTGAACCTCGCACGTTCAATCTGAGATCTAAATTCTCTTTCCGCGCATAACAGCGATTTCCGAGTGTGCAGATCGCACCTCGCCCTGATGGCAAGTGGATCACGCGTTCATGTTGACAGTGGCGACTCCTGGTGGCATCAAGCAGCGCCCCCTGGCGGGCGCACGCGGTCACGCACGTTCGCTGACGATGACATTGCCTTCCTTGTCCTTGACCCTGACGCGCCCGGTCCAATACCTCGTCTCCGTCCTGCCGTCGCCGTACACCGTCTTTGTCGTTCCGTCCGGGTACTCTCTCCGCTGCAACACGAGACGACGCACGTTACACTCAACAGGGGGCGCTGAATACTCTAGAGTCGCGCGTAACGCGTAAGCACGCGCAAAGGTGAATAAAAACGAGTCCGCTAAACTACAGTTGCACACTTCAAGCAAGGAAACAGAACCATGCTCTATATCTGTCTATTCTAATGGGGAAATAAAATCGAATATGGGCTATGCACAGATTTCTGTGTGTAAGTTCATGGTCGCACCACCTTGTAGTCCTTTGTGTGTATCTCTTTCTGGCCGTTGGAAAACTCGATGACCTTTACTCCATCTTGATGTACCTGCGTTTGAGAGGAAATATTTATGACACGTCACGATGCTAGCATTCATTCCCAGAACTGCTACATGGGATGGCATAGACCCGTTTATACGAAACTCGTGTCACCTTTGTATAGTGTTTATCAATTTTCGTCGTAGCAGCCGACTTCAATAAAATAATGCCAGACCAATAAGATTGCGGTAGGCACACATGGCAACGTCTTGACAACGATATACGATCGGGATGATTCAGAGAGAAATTTAGAGAGGTGGGGGGGGGGATAGAGAGAGAGAAGAGAGAGAAGAGGGTGAGAGCAAGAGAGAAAGAGAGAGAGCGAGAGAGCGAAGAGAGAGAAGAGAGAGAAGAGAGAGAGAGAGAGAGAGATCAGCTATAATAATGCATATATGTATACACTTCTATTTCAGTCATTGAAAACTAAGTTATATAGGCAAGGGATAAAATGCCTAGATCTAGGAGAGGATGCGAAAAGATCAAGAGAATCAGGCCGCAACCTTTGCAAGGTAAATAGAATTGTTGATATTGGCCAATTTGGCCTCATGTTGTTGTCATTCCCAGTAGGAAACAGTACTGCAGGGAAGCTGTGCACTACAGCACATGCACGTGCATGCACACAAACACACACTAGTGCATATATGTGCACACATGCAGATGCATCTAGACACTCACACACATGTCCATACACACAAATGTATGTGCCTGCAGCATTATTACTATTACGGGAAGTTGCCATCCTATGTAATGTATCTCTATCAGCCTAAATATCAGTACTTTATCAAACTACTGGGAATACAAGTTTAGAAGCTTGTAAAAATTGTAAAGTATCACTAGTATTCCAATTCCACTGAGTTGATCTTCTTTGTAGATGTCACAATAACAGATTTCGCTAATGCAAACATCAAAAGTGGCACTGGAAGGTTAAAGAAGAGCCTTAAAGTCGGTGGCGCTCAAGAAGGTAGGTGATATCTCAATTCAGATCTAATCCTGATCAGTTAATTCATAGACGAAGGTTGCCCATAAACATTTCTGCTCACGTATGTCTCTCAGCTAGCTGACATGGGGGGGGGGCAGCCCTATAGACCGAAGGTCCGATAGACCGAATATTGCAAAGGGTTAGGGTTAGAGTTAGAGTTATGGTTAGGGTTAGGGCATATATATGGTT